TTAGCCAGGAATTTCAGAAGATCTAATGCACAATGGGGTAACTAAGCAGGAATCGAAATAGATAAACGACTGAAAGCACGACCATTCGAAGGAGAACCTTACAAGGAGTGCAGTGAACAAAATCAGCTCCATATTCGTCCTCCAGTCAGTTCCGATGAACACCCCTTGCACTACGAATCGGAGGTGCATCCTGACATTATCACTAGAAACTGTAGCAAACTTCTGGACTCCATGTATCGCCACTTGAATGAAAGGAGCTGCAGCGTAATGAAGTCTCGATGGAAGCAGCGTGCATCGACTGACCATGAGCGACAAGCGCGCCTGACCATCTGCAGAAATCGTTCCGTGACCGTACAGACAGGACATTTCCTTGCTGGCCACCAGTGCAGATGAGTCATGAGTCCACCATGATAATAACACGCTGCACCTCTGGTGGCTACCTCGTAGCCTGGACCCACCATTTCGACCAAAGTCTGAGCTCTTTCATCAGAGGATGTTCATTATCTTTCGGTGCGCTGGGCATCCGCTTTAAGGACCATCCCACTTTACGCAAACAAGCATTGCGAAGGTAAGCATGGAATTTTCCCCAAAGCTGGCCGCAGCAGTGGGAGAGAACGGTTTGAAGCGTCTCAAAATCTCCTTTCTCCGAAGCATCGCCCTAAAACACGTTCCAGAGATAACTCGCCACGTTTCGAGGGAGGCTGGATGGACCACAACACCACATCTATCTTGCAGCTTTCACATTGCTCCATCGTACTATCACCTCCGCAGCTCCCTGAATCAGAATCTATAAGAGAGAAAAAAAGTCAGCAGAATACAAGCAACCCCAAAACGACCCTCTCCGAGCTTTTCATCTCACATTTTCACTAGTTCTGGAAAGAATGCATCAATTCGTTCCTTAGCAAATGGATGCATATCAATAATTGTAGTTGTGGTCATATTTCGATGAATTGTTTCCCAGGAAAGATCAAAAACTTGAAGAAATCAAACTGTCGAAATTCGGCCAGAAATTATGGGACAACCCATTAGTAAAGGAGGAGCTGCCGCTGCCGTATCGGCGCAGCCATGCCGCTCTGCCTATTTATCCTCATACTACCGCTTTTACTGCTCTGTGTCGAGGCAATCTAAAAAGGCTAAGAGCGATGACTAACGACGTGAATCGGGAGTACATACCAGATCGCCACAGTCCGTCGTGGGGTCCACTCCAGCTCGCTCCATGCTTGTTTTCGTGACAGATTCTCCTAATTCGTCCACATAGAAGGCTATTACGATGTTATTTTGTAAAAGATTGTGTCCTTCAATATTCACTCAAGAGCATTTCGGTTACTAGCAGTGCTGTTTACTCCACTATTAATTGTTAGATAGTGTTAACCTACTCGGTCGGTTCCCGGCTTGCAACGTCGCAAAAAAAGCTGAGTCGTTTCGTAATGGTCATAGAAGAAAGTGCGCTTCATCTCCATTGAAGGGTGATCTAGAGCATCTAAACATACGCAAGTCAGCAGCTGTGAAAAGATAGCTCTAAAAAAACTGGCTCTCAAACAGGCTTACCACAACTCGATCTTCAGGTCGGAGCGATCCGTCTCAAGAAGCCGCTTGGAACTTATAAGTACCATTACTATTGAAGGGTTTACGGTGTGCTAAAAGAGTCCAAAAGGTTAATGATACGGTCTTCGACTAGCACACTCACTAGCCGCGACGGCCATAATCCATCAGCGTTGATATAGGCGACGGCCGGCAACGGTGGCGCCAGAAAAGCGGCCACAACTCTTACCAACGCTGCGACTAATTGCGCGCTTTCCCATTCGTTGTCTAGAAGGTCGGTGACCCACACTCAAAAACATGAGCCTGTAGCTATCCTTCCCTGGCGAGACGAGCCACCCGCGAGGCTGCTAACAAGGGAAGTCCCTCGAGTCGCCATGGCCATTCGAGATGAGATGTATACCCAGTATGCGTCTTGGAACGCTGATCTCGAATCTGTCTTCCAAATCTGCTAAACGATCCGGAGAGAGAAGTTAGGGGGTGGTTTCACCATGAGGCCCATTTCTTAGAGCAATTCGACAACCAAGTAGTCGATGGTTTCACCGCTGAGGCCCATTTCTTGAAGCCTTCGACAACCGGAGGTCGTGCCTCCGGTGGCGCAGCCGGTAAGCAATCGGGCTCGCAGGAGCAGCACCAGGTTCGATTCCTTGATGCATGTGCTAGTTTTGCATCTGTGTTAAAACGCTTTTTAAACGTTGCGAAAAAATTCGTGGCCAACTTTGAATATTGGAACCCTTTTTTTGCCCACTTGAACTGGTTCAGGATGAAGGAATTCGAAATCTTGGCGGACTGCTAGACGGCGACCTCTTTGGCGGGCTCAGGCGACCTTTCAAGGCTCTTTTAAGCGCTTTATTTCTTACATTACTATTCATTGATCTTAGTTTCGCCACAAAGCGCTCGTTGATTCATATTAGACCTGTGTCCCTATGCTATGTTCTATTCAGGACACAGATTTAAAAAATTTCTGGTCTCCCCTCCCACGCTGTTCCCCAACCCTGGGGCCGGGTGCAGCAAGCCCCAACTAGGGGAGGGATCCCCAACCTTGGGGATATATCCCCAACCTTGGGGATACATCCCCAACCTTGGGGATATATCCCCAACCTTGGGGATATATCCCCAACCTTGGGGATATATCCCCAACCTTGGGGATCCCTCCCCACCCAACGGGGGATATCCCCAACCTTGGGGATACATCCCCAACCTTGGGGATACATCCCCAACCTTGGGGATACATCCCCAACCTTGGGGACATATCCCCATCCTCGACATTCTACGAATCGTTCAAGGGTTTCGTCGCAGGACCCAGGGCTTCCGCATCTCGAAGGCTCACGGACCATTAATGTTTCGTAGCACTATGGCAGTTTCGAAATACAATGGCACGGCACACATAGGAACCGTTACTATCTCTTCACTTCGTGGCTCTTACGAAATACAGTGGCAAATGGTCTTGGAGGCTGAGCGCCTCTTTCACATCGTTAACCATTTTTCTTCAATTGCCTTTCCCTCTTTTTTTTGATTCTGTGGTTTCTTCTGGCTCAGTGTGGCCCCGTGAATGGTGTCAGATTCACGGAAACGCTCAGTTTTGGGGCTGACCCTTAGAGGAGAAGAGATAATCCGAAGTGTCTAAGCAGTCTTCCTTCTCAAGCTCTGCCTTCTCCCTTCTCACGTTGAACAAACTGCATCGTGATGCCCCCTAACTAGAATATACCCCGCCAATTTTCGCCGAACTTCTAAAATTCCTTTTTTTAGCGCAACGAGCGGTGGATCCCGCGCCACGCCCTCCTCTCGCAGAGGCACATTGAGCCTTTCCTAGGCACTGTTCACACATTGCGCCACAGCCGAATGACGCTCAAAACGAACGAATCTGCGCAAATGCGAAATGAATGAAATGCGTATCGATCTACAAAATGGGAGGAGCATCGAATCGCGCAAAATCTGCGAATCCTTTTAAAAGAAATGGGTGTCTATCGACCGAGTCAATCGGAGATCGACAGCGCGAAACGGCGGTGCAAAAATCCTCCAGCAACGCTAATACAGCGTGCTCTACAATGTCGACACGCATTTAATCCTTTTCGCATCTGCTTTCGCGCGTGCGCAGATTCTTAACCCTTTCGGACCTGAATTTTTCCCCGTGGAGAAATTTTACTTCTAGCTATTGTTTACTTGTGAGCATATAGGTATCATTATGGCGAAATTTGGAAGCTATTCGATCACAAACAAAGAAACTAAGAAGCTTTGAAAATTGGCCCACCTTCTTAGTTTTTAAGCTTATGTCGAAACAATTCGAAGTTTCATAGTTATGCCGAAAAAGTTTATAATCTTGCATAATATTATAACCCATAATTTTGATTTAGGAATGGATCCACTTCAAGTATTTTAAGACAAAGTCACACTTACTTGGCCGGTTGCGGGGGTCAGCGCCCATTCACTGTTGCACTTGTACACAAATACTTGCAATACTAACAGCAATAAACAATGAAATGGCCGGTTAAGCTCATAATTAGGAAGGGGAAGGTTGACTGAAGCAAACTCTAGCAGAATTAGAAAAACTATGCTGTTTCAGCGGAAATGCAAGCGTTTGAATTTGGTGGTGGCAATTGCCACCGCCAGGGCCGAAAGGGTTAATGTTGATATGTATCTGATTCTTTTCGCAAATTTGAATATTCGATAATTTTAAAACTGTGAACAGTGCTTAGAAAACAGCGAATGAACAAAGGCAAGGTAATGGCGAAAAAAGAAATGCGAATAACGAAGCGAAATAGAGGGTGAAGAAACCCGAAACTGCCTTCAATTCTCCGCGTCGCCAAGTGAGGGGACGAATCCCCCTAGTCTCGACTAGGGGGATGTATCCCCTGCCTGCAGAGACGCAGAGGGTCGACGGCAGTGACCGTCCCGCACGGTTGCGTCACAGGAGCCACCGAAAAACGATGGGTCTTGCGACGAAGTAGGGGATATATCCCCAAGGTTGGGGATATATCCCCAAGGTTGGGGATATATCCCCAAGGTTGGGGATATATCCCCAAGGTTGGGGATCCCCAAGGTTGGGGATGTATCCCCAAGGTTGGGGATCCCTCCCCTCGTTGGGGCTTGCTGCACCCGGCCCCTGGCATCCGCGGGGTACCCTGATACGCATCCGGGTGAGTTTGAGACCCCTGTGCAGTACTGTTTTCATCCGAAGTGGAGGGGATGTGCGATAGTGATGGTTTGCAGCGAGTTTTTCTTTATTCGATGCTCACACTGTGAAAAGCTCTTTTGCTTCACTCATTTTGTATTGGATTATCACTTATGCTCATTGTCAGGAAGTGTTCCTGATGCGTCACAGTAAAGTGCATTAAATAAAGCTTCCAGATTAGTAATAATAGAGAAACCATACTTGTACAAGTCACTGTGGAAGTTACTCCCAGAAACTTGCCCAAGAAAGGACTACTAGAGGGCAAAAATAGTTGAAAGTGGCACGAAAAACTGTTTTGCAAACGTTTAAAAAAACGTTTTAACACAGATGCAAAACTAGCACATGCATCAAGGAATCGAACCCTGGTGCTGCTCCTGCGAGCCCGATTGCTTACCGGCTGCGCCACCGAGGCACGACCCCTTGGTTGTCGAATGGCTTTAAGAAATGGGCCTCAGCGGTGAAACCACCCCCCTAACTCTTCTCTCCGAATCGTTTAGCAGATTTGGAAGACAGATTCGAGATCAGCGTTCCAAGACGCATACGTGGGTATACATCTCATCTCGAATGGCCATGGCGACTCGAGGGACTTCCCTTGTGAGGAGAATTGATGTAGGTCGAAACGACCTTCCAAAATAGAGCATTGAAATAGATTGTAGATTCTATTGAAATGAGATTGTGATTCCTGAAATCTACAATCCATATCTGCTGAAGGATTCTCTGGAGAAAGCTACGAATTTGTTGTGGTACGGAGCACACCTAAGTTCAGCAGGAATATTATACGCAAGAATAGCTTAATGGACGCCTGCGCGGATAGGCACTTGAAATCCCACATTTACATCTCCAAAGGTGAGTGGCCCTAACGGGGACTCTAACAAGCTGCCATAGCGCACCCGCACTAGGTGTTTTCGCGTCAAACTAGTGCGATATTCGTATTTAGGAGCTCTAAATTAACTACATCTGAAAACACATTCCTAGTGCAGAATTCGCCTTTCACATTTACTTCGAAAAATTCCTGGCGACGTCTTGTGCGCGGTCAAATGACAGAAAAGCTCCGCATACAGCGTCACAACTGAAAGTTATTTTCATGAGGGAGCTATCTGTTGTCCCTTCACATAAAGTTTCAACGATCACGATTTTCTTGCCCACAAAAGTCGTACTCGTGGGCGATGTAGAAGGCACCAGCTACTAACGGGCTCTACTACCCAGTTGCCGCAGTGCCAAAGTCAGAGTATTCAAGGAGAAGTTCATCAAAAATCACAATCTACCTTCTACTGACTTGCTATGAAGAAAGCCAAGAAAACGGAGCGAGCGGATTCCATCCCCTCCCTTCAGCCTCACAAATCCGCTTCTTTAGACCGTCACACTACAGGCAGGAAAATTTCGTTCACAGCATCGTTCAGCAGATTGGGACAGCAGACTTGGAGTCTAGAGGAGCATCAGGTGATATGCATTTCATTTGAAATGGTCATTTCGACCTACCATCCCTCCCTTGTAGGCTGGCAATTTCATCGGGGAAATGGGAGCAGGCTCCTTGTCGAAAGGATAGCATACGGCTCATGAAGCTAGCATTTCGAAAAAGTCGGCTGAGGGCGCATTCTTACTTAGTTCAGGGCTGGTGGAGAGGAAGGTGCTATTATCACAGCTTTCTCGAGAATTTCAATTGCTTTTTCTTCACCAAATCGAAACTTGGTACCCCTAAGTTAGCATCAGAGTAAGATTACCCCGTTTTGGATTTCCCCAGGGTTGTATATGTACAGTACGAGGATCAGTCGGCAGAATGGGCCATATCAAATGATCTTAGGAATCGGTCTCAATCCCAGAAAACAGCCCCCGCAAGCGAACCCTACAAAAACTACTCTTTCAGGTTCTACCACCACGATCTTTGAAGGAGGATTCCACGATAAAGTATACGGTCGAGAAAGGGAAAGTATACCACGTTGAATGCATGCGAGTCCTTAAAGGCAAACTCCGGGATAAAACGTGGGACTTACCTGTTCAACTATGAAGTACTGGGTGCTAAGTGAATCGAAGCTAAAGAAAAAAGCAGGAAGTACTCCCAAAAAAGTCCAAAATAAGAAATTTCTCTTCGTTAGTCGCTTAGAAGCCAGGGCTGGGAGAATTACGTGTCTACAGCAACTGTTGGCTTTATGCCAGCAACCGACACGGCTACAAAAAGTCAGCAATGAAAACTGATTGCTTCTAATTTCGCTATTTTTTCTATTTACCTGTGCTTTTTTGTTTTTTCCTATCTCAAAAATTTGATTATCACTAGAATGAATGACTAGGTTCTCGATAATGGTCTTAACATAGGCTTTGATGTTGGTTTTCGCAGTTGAATCCGCTAAATATTCTCTCTACAACCTTCCAAATATAACAACTACATCTGTTTCATGTGATCTTCTGAGTGTATGGAACAGTGGGCGGGCTCAATGGTCTGGGTGGGCCAGTCTAACCCATGCTTCTAGCCCTAAACCTTGTCAAACGCCGCGCATTCTGCCATGATGCTTGCTAATGCTGCATATTTGACCGAAGATAAAATAAAATTTCGAAGAATCCAACTTTGCACATTAAGGTTGTGGGGACCCGATCGCGAGTTGCAGCGAAGAATATGCCCTGCGACCGATCGCGACCGCTTTAGTCTCGCACGTAACGTAGGAAGTACAGCATCATATTCACATCGAATTCAAAATCATGTTTCCCAATCAAGGTGATTTGAGTTGACAATTGCGAGGAAATTGGGGTTTGTGCGCTTTTGCAGCACATTAATGCTCCCAGCTCTTATAACTCTGTTATTATTTCACATGAGACCCTTCTTTCCTTTATATCAGTCAGATTGATTCTTGAAATAACAATTTCAAATTGAAACCATATCTCACTTATAGCTCTTCAATTGATTTCTTTGTTCATGTGACCGATTTTGAGTTGCGCATTGATACCGGATAATATAGTGAAACCAGATATGCATTCCGGGATTTTACTTCGGATATTTAATTTTTCGATGAGCAACGCCTATAGTGCAGTGCGATTCTTTTAATGCTACTGATTCTTTGGGGTACCTCAAACTATTGTCAGCACTTCAGCAGGGAAGCAGAGAGAATTGTGTGACGATGACAAGTAGCGCGTTCGGCTCGAGTGTCCACCTGACTGGAAGCCAGTTTCTTCTTGTAACTGCTTCTCCTAATATGTTGCAGCTGTAATGTCGTTTGCAGCAAGCGACCAATTTATCGCCACATCTGCCTCTGATGGCGTTTTAGGATTGGTGAAGTCGTCTCCCTTGACCCCGAACTGTCGTTAAATTCAACCATACAAACGCCGCTCAAATTCCGGAATTTGTACAAATTGCTCTTGGAAGATTCCGCGATGAAGCTGCAAATATTGCTTTCTGTAATTTGCGTCCACCCTGCACATATATATAGTAGTAATCCGAAAACTAATTTGATTTTTATCTGTTCATTTTCAAATCGGGTTTGCCTCACTAGGGGTATCGTTTGCAGCAGTTCGAGCTGCCTAATGTCATCCCAAATTTTGTACAAGGGCTAAGCTTTAAAGTTCATTATGAAATCGAAATGGAAATTGGTCACTCATCCCAGAGCTTCCAGCTCCCCCTTTCCCTGCAAGAACTGAAATTATTGTAGGCGGCAAGCCATACTGCTCTGAATGCGCCTCAGTTACGAAGATTCTTCAATTCTTCCAACAATGAACTATTCAGGAAGGCCGGTCCGAAGTGAGTATCGCGAGTAGTCGAAAATGTGGTCGTTGTTAGCCGTTTTTCTACTCCTGATACCTCCTTGCACTTCGTTCAAGAGAGTTACTGTTAACATCAGCACCGGTACGCTTGCTGGTTATCAAACGTTAGCGTCCTCCGGAAAGGCAGTTAACGTTTTTAAGGTGAGTGCAAATTTCTCTCTCCACCCAGAAAATAATGCATCATGGTTTCTTGTACGCTACGTGACGTTGTGATTTTAAGGCACACGAACTTGTTGGAGATGGAGCTAGAGGTGGCATGTGGCGCTGTGGTGAAGAAAAACTAAGGGAAGCAGCCTAAAAACCGCGAAATGGTGCCCCTTTTTGCTTTTTATTCCGAGTTGGACGAGGTTACACGATTGGTGACGTTATGAATGCGAACACCTTGGTGCATTCTTATCATTATGCAGCCACTCTTTATATTATGCGGCCGCAGACAACCCCTCAGTCACAAATCAATCATGGGTCGCATCCATAACCCGACAGCGAGGTTCTAAACGGTCACCATAAGTTCGGCCTGGCATGTTACCATGGGCCCGCCCTTTACTACATATGAAAAATGCCACAGCTCGATCCTCCAAAAGCCTAGCGCCCTTGACAGCAGGGAAACTTTCCCTTCTATACCCATTGTCGCCCAGGTTCAAGGTATTCATTTTAGATTAGGATTCAAGGCAATGAATTGCTCGAGTTCTGTAAACGCTAAGATTTTGGAGAGCACTGAATAATACGGAAAAATGGCGCCTTACTGTAATTATTACAAAATGCAACTGTCGGGTCTGAAGAAAACATGTGATGCTTTATTGAACATTTAAAGGTACCATCCAACAATGGAGATATGTACATATGCAGCATAATGGAGCACTGGTGATTGGGTAACTTAGGCAGCGGCACCATTCAGTTGGTTATTCTCCTATGAATGGGATAGGGTTATCCAAGATTCCAATGGATAGGGGGTGTATTCGCTGAAATGAGCAAAATAGTTTAAAAGTAAAGAAATTTCGCACTGGCGCGAAATTTAGTGAAAATTTCAAACCTTTCCCAATATTTTGCCAAATGTCCGTTCGACCTCGATATTTTCTAATAGGATAGGCTTATTCACGATCCGTGGATAAGAGGCGTATTTAGCTGGCTATTCTCCTCGGTAAGCATCAGTTAGCAGCTTTAACGCAATCGAAAATCCAAAATAATTCCATAATCTGTGTGCTTACAGCGAGTTCCATACGCTGCATCACCTATTGGAGAACTGCGTTTCCAGAAACCACGACCAGCCAAGAAATGGGACGGCGTTTGGGACGCTACCGGTGCGCTGAGCCAAGTTTCTTTGCAGGTTCCAGGAGTATTCCAAAAAGTATTAGGTTGTCGGAAAAGTCTTGGGCCATTTTCATCTTCATGTTGCGAAATCTATGGGGATTGTTTTGGAAGCTTCATTGCGAAATATAAGTAAGGGCTGGTCAGTGCGCTCCTCATACCATTCTCCGTATCGTTTCGCAACAGTCATGGCTGAAAAAATCGCTCTCGACTCAAAGCAAGTTCGACTGCTCCTACTTTACGAGTTCAGAAGAAAACGCCAATGCACGTCACGCGACAAGAAGCATATGTGATGCGATGGGTCCTTCGACTGTCTCTTACAGTACGACAAAGAGATGGTTCCATAAGTTCGAAAATGAGCGACTTGAGCGAAAAACCACGATCAGGCAGGCCGGTTA